TGCCAGAGCCACGTGTAGGCGCGGAGTCCTGGGCGGGAGATTGAAGCCTCCCCGGGAGGGCGTGCGGCTCTGGGTTCATATATAATACGTAACGTCAGATTTAAATGTCACTGCTGCAGGCAGCTGACCCGGGTCCCCACACGATGGGCCGCGAGGGGCGCCTCCGCTGCCTCTTCATCTTCCTGGCAGTTGCTGACCAAAAGAAGGGAGATTTGGTTCCTTAAAAAACTAAACAGTGTTGAGCACTCTGGTGTTGCCTGGGCAACAGCTGAGGGGGAGAGAGAAGCATCTTATTGTTTAAAGTTATTCTTGTTCCATTTCAAAGGCCTGTTCTGAAAAGGACTGCATTGTCCAAGCAGCCCGGCTGGTCCTCTCTCTCCTCTGGCCTGCTGTGCGTTCCCAGTCCTGCTTCCCCTCAGCCCTCAGCCGCACTGCCCAGCCCCAGGCAGTGGGGATGGTCACAGCCGTGCTGGACAACTGGGCACCAGAGACAAGTTCCTTCCTGTGCTCTCTGCCTTCTCCCCCAGGCCCAGCAGGGCTCACGCCGCATGGAGCATCCGTGTTCCCCGGGCCTGGGCTGCTTTTCCAGCCCTCCCCCCCGCCCCAATGTGGGTATAAGCACAGGAGGGTGGCTCAGTGACTTAGGGGTCGGCTCACAGAAGTGCCTGATCCTGAGGGCCATGGGGTCAGCCAGATCACAGAGGTGGGCATCTTGGTTCTGGAGCCCAGCCAGGAGTGAGATGAAGGTGGTCATGGTCATTGCTTGGGGGAAGCCAAGTGGTACCTTGTGCCCCTCTGCCCCTTATGTGCCATTGCGTTGGAATTGCTTATCATTCCCTTTCCCCATGAGACTGTCAACCCCCCAACTGCAGGCTGTGTCTATTCATCCCTGTGCCTTCTTGTAAACTGCCTCACATCCTTTCAGGAGCAAGGCAAATTCTGAAAATCCAGGTGAGATGTACATATATTTTTAATTAAAAAATGTTTAGTGAATACATATGCACGATACAAAATTCAGAAGGTTTTAAAGGAATAAATATCCATGACTTCTGGTACCCGTTTTCCCTCTGGGGGGATAGTCATGGTTTCCAGCTTTCAATGTATCCTTCCAGAGATACTCTGTTCAGATAGAGGCAAATGGGCATCAAATACATCATTCACATGCCTAGCTCCTGTGTCTAGCACAGGGTCCAGCACATAGTAGACACTTTATAAAACTTTGTCAGATAGACGGATGCACAAACAAACAGGTTGGGTGAATAGTGGATGGTGGATGAGTGGGTGGTGGATGGATGAATGGTGGGTGGACAGATGGGTGGGTAGTTAGATGGATAAATGGATGAATGAATGATTGGATAGATGGTTGGATGTAGGATTGATGGATGGATGGGTGGATGAGTAGGTGGATGGATGGATAGATGAAGGGATGGATGGTGGCTGGATAGATGGGTGAATGGATAGTTGGATGAATGATAGATGGATGAATGGGTGAATGAGTGAGTGGATGGATGGATGGATGGATTAGTGGATGGGTGGGTGGGTTGGTAGATGGATGGATGGATGGATGGGTGGGTGGGCAGGTAGGTGGATAGGTACAGCTCTTTCCCCACCCCCCCAGATGTCTATGTTCCCCAATAAGAAGTTCCTTCAGAGTAAGATGGCAGATCCAGCATTAGACATGTTGAATCTCAAGGGCCTATGTTATTCAGATGGAGACATCCAATAAGCAGCTGAATTGTGGTTTTATCAGGTAAGAGTTTTATTCTGCTGCTAACAGAGACCCAACTACAATGGCTTGAATCCATTTTCTTTTTCTCAGGATGAGAAGTTCTAATAGAGGTATAGCCCCCAGGGATATCAGGGTTGAGGTCACTGTGATGCCCTTGATCTTTCCCTCATGGTCTCAAAAAAGAGCTTTTGGGGGAAGGAGCCTCCCCATCACGTCTGTGTTCTAGGGAGGAAGAAAGAGGAAGAAGAGAGGCAGAAGGGTGAGTCAACCTCCTATAGAAAGCCTGTTCCTGGAAGTCCCACCCAGTGACTTTTAATTTTATCTCCCTGGCAACTCCTAGATGCAAAGGGGACTGGGATATGTGGCTTTTAAGGTGTGGACATTATTCCCAGATAATATTGGGGATCTATTCTATTAGTAAGGAGGAAAGAGGAACTGGGTAGAGTCAGCAACTAGCAGCCTCTGCTACCTGGGTGGAGAGTCAGAGGAGAGTTCTGGGCCTGAGGATGGACACAGCAGGAAGGTGCACCCAGGGAAGAGCATATGCTAAGGCACAGAGGTGTGAAAGCTCGGGCGCATCCGCATTCACATTCCGGCTAAGTCCTGTTGGCTCCAGCTTCTAAACTTCTCCAGAAAGGAACCACTTCTCCCCTCCTGCCCTGGTCCAAGCCTCCGTGATCTTCACCTGGATCAGAGCAGCAGCCTTGTACCTGGTCTCCCTGCTCCCTTCTGGCCCACTGCCCAGGGCCCGGTTCTCTGTCCAACATTTACAGTGACTCCTGATCCATACATTGGAGACTGGCTCCCTGCTCAACCCCCTACAGTAGCTTCCATCTCACTCCGAATGAGACCCCAAGCCCTCACCAAGGCCTGCAAGGGGTTCCGTGCTTCCTCTCCTATAGACGGCTGGAATGGCACCAGGTGTCTGACCCTTGGGGTCAGACCAAACCTGGGTTCAGCAACCTCAGTACTTGGGTTCTGTCAAGGAAAGAATTCAGAGTCTAGCTAGACCCAAACTGTAAGAGAACATTTATTGGGTAAATTACAGCGGTAGAAAAGGTAAGTCCTAGAAGAAATGGTCTTAGCAAACAAGTTCTAGAGGTAGAGGAAGGGCTCTTGAGGAGTGAGGAAGCTAATGGTAAGGCCTGGGGGCAGGGAAGGGGACGGGGAAGGCACAGGTGTGCTCCCAAGAGGGAGAGGCACTGGGTCCTCCCCTAAGGGTTTTAAGGGTGGAGATTTTAGGGGAGGTCCCAGGGGGAGATCTCCATAGAATATTCAGCAGTTTTCCAGGGTTGTCCTTTCAGAGTTGTGGTCTCCACCGATAGATTGGTCAGCACCCGGGCAGGGGGTCATTATTCAATGCAGCTGGTCCTGAGTCTGGTTTTGTTGTTTTTCTGGGCTTGGAACTGAAATACAACTGAGGCCTAGATGTTATCTCTAGGGAGGAAGGGTCAGGAGAGTCACCCTGGGGGTGAGGTCCCACCTACAATTGATTGTCCGTTGCTAGGCACCTGGGGCTTTCCACCCAGGTGACCTTCTGTACCTGGTCCATCGTCCTTGCTCTGCTCACGTCTGTCTAACTGCCTACCACTCCTCTGTCTCTCCCCGTTGGCCACTCCACTCCAGCCAGGCTGCCTTCTGGCTGCTTCCCAGGCCACTCGCTGTTCACACGCCCAGAGTGGCCCAGAGTGAACATCATTCAGAAGCTTCTCATGGAGGCTCCTCTGCCTCCTCCAGGTCAAATGTCACCTCCCCCGGAGAGGAGAGGAGAGGCCGCCTGACCATTCTACCTGCCCCCTCCTCACCATCACTCTCTTCCCCAGGATTTAACCCATTTGGGACCACAGGCTCCTAGGCCTCTGGTGAAGCCGAGAGACCCCTTCCCAGATGCGGGGGAAAAACTATGTAGAATTACAAAGGAAATCAATTATATTGAAATACAGTTTTCAAAACATTTGCAAAACAAATGTGTGATGTAGTGCTACAGTGCTTCTTTATTAATGCATTAAATAACCGGATCTGGAGGCAGCTCTAGTAACCACCACAATTTTGAAGCAATGATGAGTGTCAGTGGTATTTTGAAACCTCCACAACAACTCCAACATGATAGGAAGTATCTGATTTCTGCTGGCGACAGTCACAGGCATTGCTAATACGACCAAGGTGTGTGGCCAACATTTATCATTGGAGAGAAACGCTGTATTTCAGTTAAAGGTTAATGTAACAAAAAGCTAATTTCCCCCCCACCCCCACCCCCCTTCACCAACTCCGTGAATTCTGTCTATGGATCCCTTGGGGGAAGTCTGGGTTGTTGTGTATTTTTTAAGTCTCTTTCTTTGCTTGACATTACACATTTATTTGTTAACTTGCTTACTGTCAGTGTCTCCCAGGAGAGTAGAGATTGGATCTGTTCTGCTCGCTGCTGTCTCTTCAGTACCTAGAACACTGCCAGACACATGAGTGATCAATAAATATTTTTTCTTTTTTAAATGAACAAGCAAGAGAGATAAGGCTGGAGAGACAGGAAGGCTGGAGCGAGATGTGAAGGGCCTTGAATGTCACACTCAGGAGTGTGGCTGGGACCCCGGGAGGGGAAATGGGCCCTGGGCAGGTCACTGTCCCTGGGCAGCCAGGCTGACAGGATGACAGGGAGGTGAGTGGACTGAGCCTGCCGTCGGAGGCAGCTTTCTGAGGGAGGCTCAGGCATAAACCACGTCAATCGTGAATGTCGGCAGCCGCCTCACTCTCTGCTGGCCCGTCTCCTCCTCCCAGCCTCCCTGGATGTTACACAGGGAGCTTGCAGAGCCCGGCCCAAAGCACTGTCTTCATTCTCCAGATAGTCCCGGGCAGTAATGTGTGCCAGGCAGCACGGGCAGGCCCGCAGGCTGAGGAGGCAGCGGGGGCTGGGAAGGGAAGGGGAGGGAAGGGGAGCCACAAAGGCTCATGGCTCGCCTTGGGACAGTTCCACCGCAGAGAGACCTGGTGTGCCAGACCCTGAAGCCAAGGAGGAGACCAGTCCCCCTCCCAGACTGAGCTGGCTACTTAGGGCCGTGGGTTCTACGGCGACCCGAGAACCCGGGGGAAGAGCAAACTTTTGGAATCAGACCGACTGGGTGGAATTCTGGAATGGCCACTTGCTCTTTAATCGCAGGCTCTTGTACAAGTCACCTAGCGCCCATGCCTCTCCACGACTATAAGTGCGGGTCCATGAGGATTCAGTGGGGAACATCCTGGATCTAAAGCAGCCGACTTGATGTCAGGTGTGCGGTAGACAATCAACAAACGGTTGCCCTGTCACTGTTAACCTATAGCAGATGACTGGACACCGGGGCCAGGAGTCCCTCCACTGCTAGCTGGCACTACTGTAATAATAATCCACTTGATCCCTTGGAGCTGGGAGTGCAAGCTGGTGGCACAGAAGCCAATAAGACCAGAGTGGAGAGAAAAAACAAGCTCTGGAGACAGCAGATTGGGTTCCAGCCCAGCTGTGTGACCTTGAGTCAGCCACCTCTCTCAACCTCGGTTCCAAAAACAAGGATGGTGCCTTCTTCCCCTAGTGCCCACGTCTGTCTGTGAGGACTATGGGACAGGAGTGATGTGTGAAAGGCCGCAGGGAGAGGGCCTGTCCCAAGGGCCACATGCACCACAGTGCCCGCGAGTACAGGATCACAGTCCCAGCCTGTGCAGCGGTTCACACGCTAGAGAGCCCTCCTTCACACCCATCATGCGTTGGAGCCTCACTCCAGCCCTTCAGGATGGACAGGGCTGCGTCTGATCCACATTTGACCACCGGACGCAAGAGCTCAGGTCGGGTGGACTCACAGAGCTCTCTGCTCGGAGGCCACTCAGCCGGAGATTCCGGGGAGCTGGGAAGCCAGATGGCTCAGTTGCTGTCTCTTTTCAGATCAGCCACTCGGGTCTGTATTCATTCAACATGTATTCCCCGAGCTGCGCCCGGGATGCGGCAGTAACTGGGCAGACACAACGCTGCTCTCGAGGAACTTGGAGCCTGGCGGCCTCAGGCTTCTTCCCACTCCACTGATCGCAGGAAGACCCGTGTCTGCTTGTGGTGACAGATCAGGAAGTGTCCCGCGTGCAGGTCCCGGCTCCGTGCCCACCTGGGGCAGCGAGCAGGTCAGGACAGAAGAGCTCTCTGCCCTTGGGGATAAATCACTAACAAACCCAGAGGTAGACACCAGGAGCCTAGCATGAACCAGAACTCTCAAACGAAGTATTCTGTGGCCAGAAGCGTTCAGGAGAAGCCACTCTGAGAGTCAGGCCGCTTTGGCACATGCTACAGGCTCTCGGGAAAGCCAGGCAGGAAAGACCTGCCTCGCCCGATGCTTCCCACACCTGCTTGACCAAGTGAACCTGTACTTCAAGCCACACCTACTCACTTCGGACGAGGCCAGGGCAGTGGCAAGGACATAGTGCCTAGAGCCAGGGGCCTGGGTTCGAAGCCCGGTCTTAGATGTGATTTGCACGTCATAAACCGTCAAAACATTATAACCCAGAGGAGGGAAGTGACTTGCCCAAGGTCACTCAGCACCAGGCCCAGAGCCCAGGCCTTCGAGTTATTGTTAACGTGAGAGGTGTCCTGTGCTTCCCTCTGAGAGGCATAGCCTGACCCCCTTGCTGGGTCGGGGTTAGTTCCGGTCTCCTAGCCACGCAGCACCTTTGAGCACATTACAAAAAGGCACCTCCTCCTCAGGGGTCAACACTTCCCTTGTCAGGGCACATGAATTGGTAAAGCATTCTGTGGGCTGGATTTCAGCCCCCAGCTGTCCCCTGGGCCAAGTATCCCATGGCAACCCTTGTTAGCCCATTTCTCCTCCTTCCCCCTCACCCCTTCCATCCCATGGTGTCCCCTTCACCTGAGCCGCAGCTCCCCACAGGGGCCCAGCTTGAGCTGCCATGGGAACCACCCAGTTGTTGGGCTGCATTTTCCAAGCCCCCAAGTGGCAGCAGCCAAAGGTGCTGACTCAGCAAACTTTAATTTATCTCACAGGCCAGGGGTGTGCGTGAAGCAATTAGTGAAATAATGGTTATGTCGCACTAAAAATTATTTATAGAGTCACCATGCACACAGCTGTGATTAAATTAGACAACCAGGGGGACTTTAACTGCCAATGGAGCCGGCATCCAAGGCTCAGATTCCAGCTGGTTGGGGTGGGTAGGGTCACTTCTCCCCCTTCACTCACCGCCCCAGGCAGGCCAGCCCACCCTGACTCAGGCAGGGATAAGGAGGGTCTGCATGGGCAGGGGTGTGGGGAGTGGTCCCATCCCACGAACTCTGAGCTGTCAGGACCCTTAAACATAGACAAGTCAGGGGCTTCACACATATCAGGCTTTGAAGCAGCTAAAACACCTTCAAATCAAGTCTTCCCCAGCCACTCAATGAGCAAAAGGGAAGTGGTCTGGGTGAATTAGACAAGATGATCCTGGAGCCCCATGGGCTTGGCAATGACCCCAACGGTGGACCCCGAGAGCCCAGAGCGCGCTGTAAACCGTAGATCAATCCAGCCTTCTTTTGCAGGCGGCAAACTGAGGGCCAGAGATTTCGCCACTCTTGTCCCCCTGGCAGGTGTCAGGAGACCTTTGTTCCAGCCCTGGGTCAGGGGGAAGCCCTGGGGCCTTCTCTGGACCCAGTGTATCCCCGGAGAGTTCGTTAGGGGGCGTCTACAGGAGTGAACAAATGTTTCTGGAGCACCTATTGCATACTGGATACTCTTTCTATATTTATTGTCTTACTCATGTTTAGGTTTATATTTCTATTTAGCTCCTTAAAACATTACTGTAAGGTAAGTACTCCTGTTCCCATTTACAGATGGAGAATCTGAGGCTCAGAGAGGTTAAGGTATTTGCCCACAGCCACACAGCAGGTGAGGGCAGAGCCGTTTTCTAAAGACCCATCTGACTCCAGTGATAGAGCATTGTGGTACTTTGGGCGTTTTAGGGCACCTCCTGGGTGCCCCACATTGTGGGGGATGTGATGCTGAGAAATGATAAGGGGGTTCTTTCACACTGGACCCTGTGCCAGACACCGGACATGCACCATCTCATTTCAGCAGCAACCTCTCAGGTGCCCATGGGGAAGCAGCCACAGAGCATTCCATGCACGGCTCCCAACCCCCAGCTTGTGAGCGAGTGTCAAGGTTTACGTCCTCAACGGGCCTCCACCTTTCTCATGATGCAGGCGCCGCACCCCCCATGTAGGAGCCACTGTCCGAGCAACCTGAGTGATCCCAGGCGTCTCCCAGTGAGCGAGGAGGGGATTGGCAGCCCTGAGCGGTGGCGGCTGGGGAGGGAGTGTTGATGCCATGGGGAGGCCCTGACTCCCAGCCTGGCGCCAACCCAGGCCCCACATCTCAGCACTTCCAGCCTCCCCCTCTGAGCTAAAGATGGTTTCTGACCATTTCCCAAGAGCTGTAGCCTTGGTCATCTTTTAACAGCCAGGGCCCTTTGCAGACCTCACTGGGCCTCTCTCCAAACAAGGCCCTGGAGGCTCGGAGCAGTGACTGACTGCGCAGGATTCTGAGGCCCCTCTCACCCACCCCCAGGGTCCCTCCTCCTCCTCTGTTCCAGCACTTTCCCCATGCCCCTCATAGCTCCATTGCACCCGCAGCCGGCTCCCCTGCAATCACCTCCAAAGAGCGGCATGCAGCTCACTCTCCAGATGTCTGCTGCCCCTCATCCAAGTCCGGGCCAGTGTCCACTCCCCTCTCCCTCTGGCCTGTCCTGTGTCCTACTGCTGCCTCTGGCCACTTAGCATGCAGCCGGCTGTGTAGGCAGCAGCAACCAAATGAGATTAGCTTTCCTGCTAAGCAAGTCCCCGCTCGCCACCACCCACGCCCTGCGCTCAGGGCCTCAGGGCCGCCAGCTGTTTGCGGAGCTCCCACCGCAGGGAGGTCCCAGCCCTAGCTTTTCCCACCTCGTCCCCCCCCCACCCCCCACCCCCTCTGCCCCCTGTGGAACCCAACAGGCCAGTGAGGGAGAGGCGGGGCAGTGGAAAGAGGTGGGCAGAGGGAGGAGGGAGCCTCAGAATGCAAAGGCAGGCAGGAGGGCGTGGATTAGAGCCCTGCGCAGAAATGGCTTTCTTATCACCACACAACCTGAATTGCCAGGACCAACTCTGAAAATTGAATTGCCTCCCGCCCTTCCCCCTGCCCTCCACTACCCCCTTCCCTCTGCTCCTAGTTCCCTCCCAGCCCCACCCCCGCTGAAAGAAAGCCCTGTTGGGAGAGACCAAGAGACAGATGCAGGAGACACGAGGTAGAGAGGAAAGCAGCAGAGACCCCACGCTCTGGGGGACCAGGAAGCAGAGGCAGAAACAAGGCAGGGATGGGAGACATCTGAGTGACGGAGGCTTCAGCTGAGAGGAGGATGGCCCCGCCCCGCTCATTCCCCTACCTGCCCCTGCACCCAGCTGGCCAGGCTGCTGCCTTCTCATCCCTGCTGGCCCTTCTCCAGTCCCCACCTTGGCGCCTCTGCAGGGCCTGAGGCAGGGCCCTGATGGCCGGGGCAGAGCCCTGGGCGGGAGCCCGCGGGTGCTTGGAAGCAGCCCAGTGAGTTCCTGGCAGAGCCAGGCTGCAGGTGGTGGGGAATGGGCTGGGGTGGCCAGGGGGCAGCCAGCTGTGTCATCAGGCAGCTCTCATAGTGGCCAGCCGGAGGCAGGGGGTGGGCAGAGCAGAAGCGGGGTGAGCAGAGGGAGGGCCGAGCCCACCTGCCTCCAGCGCCCCACTCAGGCTGGGGCCTGGGGCTTGTTGCCCAGGAAACTCAGGAGGGGTTGCAGGAGTCAGCGGGAGACTGGGGCCCCTGGCGCGGCCTAGGCCAGCCTCCAGGCCTGATGACCATCAGAGGCAAGGTGCTGCTGCCCAGCCTGAGCTGGTCCTGGCTCCCCTTCCCGCGCCAGCATCTCCCTCTACCGAAAGCCTAGGTCCTGGGGCTCTCTCTTGAACGGGCACCTGGCCTCTAACCAGCATCAGCCCCTTCCCTCACCCCTCTCTCCACAGCCTCCCCGCCCCCCGCCCCAGCTCACCCTCCCACCCCCCTTATACTGCCCACCATGAGTCTAGCGCATGCCTGGGGTGGGCAGGCAGGCAGTCACAGGAGCCGGGGGACCCGGGGAAGACCAGGTCATGGCCCTAAACCAGGGGTGGGCAAACTTTTTGACTCGAGGGCCACAATGGGTTCTTAAACTGGACCGGAGGGCCGGAACAAAAGCATGGATGGAGTGTTTGTGTGAACTAATATAAATTCAAAGTAAACATCATTACATAAAAGGGTACGGTCTTTTTTCTTTTTTAGTTTTATTCATTTCAAACGGGCCGGATCCGGCCCGCGGGCCGTAGTTTGCCCACAGCTGCCCTAGACCTTCTCCACTCAGCCACTCTCCTCAAACATGCACACGTGCACACACACACATTATATGCATGCGCACACACCTTCAAGATAATTCAGAATGTCTTGTTGAATCTCAAATTCACATATTATCAGCTCCAGAGACCTTTTAACCCATCGTATGCCATAAGCGTCTGTAGACCCAAGCAGCAGGACCTTCCCCACACGCCACGTGCGTCTATAAAAAAAAAAAAATGTTTTCCCTAAGTGGCAGCCCTGACCAACGTTCAAATCATTTTTCATGAGAATTTTCAGCTGAAAATGTTCATGAACTCCCAAATTGTGAGTCATATATTTATTTTTATAATATTCATTGCAAATTGATTTTTTAAATTAAATTCAAAATATTGTGGTGTGTGGGGATGGTTTCCATTTTGGACACATGGCAGCTAACTGGTTAATCAAACCCCCATTTGACAGGTGGGGAAACAGTCCAGGGAGGGAATGAACTTATCCGAAGTCACATGACAAGGAAGTCCCTCTAAGCCAGCGGTTCTCAACCTGTGGGTCGCGACCCCTTTGTGGGTCAAACGATCCTTTCACAGGGGTCGCCTAAGACCATCGGAAAACACATATATAATTACATGTTGTTTTTGTGATTAATCGCTATGCTTTATGTTCAATTTGTAACAATGAAAATACATCCTGCATATCAGATATGTACATTACGATTCATAACAGTAGCAAAATTACAGTTATGAAGTAGCAACGAAAATAATTTTTTGGTTGGGGGTCACCACAACACGAGGAACTGTATTAAGGGTCACGGCATTAGGAAGGTTGAGAACCACTGCTCTAAGCCCAGCCAGTCCTTCCCTCCAGGGGGACCTCCCAGAGAGCCCCCACCAGCTCCACGACTCTTCCCAGACACTCCAGGTTCTTCCGGCCACCTGCTCACCTGTGCCTCCCAGACCCGGCCAATGGCAGGGCCCCGAAGTTAATAAATCAAGGTGACTTTAGGGACAAGAATGGGCCTCTTTCTCCCTTGTCCCTCCCATTTGCATAATCCTGGCTGGCAATATGATAATGATGTTTGTTAAAGACAGAGCACAATAAATTAATACCGTTAAGTTGTTGCTGCAAAATGCAAAGCAGGTAATTTACTGCCAGCGAGGAACAGAGCCTTTAAACTGTAATGGATTAACTTTCCCAGCAGCAAATGTGTCCCTGGAGGGAGAGAGTTGGGAGGCAGGGGTGGGGCGGGGCTGATGCTAGGGGGCACCTGCTTGCTTCCCAGGACCGGGCCTGGGGTGTCCAGGCCCCAACCTTAGGGCAGGGGGCTGCAGGAGGCACGGTGTCCTGGGACTCCCTGGGATAGCCCAGGCCCCTCTAGAGGAGGGGCTGCGATGTCCCATTTGTGTACCCCTCTGCGACCCTCAGAAGGCACTCCTGTTTGGACCCTTCTTTCTTGAAGGTGACTAGAGAGGAGCCCAGGCCCTGCTCCTCCCAGGGTCCAGACACGGCAAGGAGGGAAGGATCCTGGGTTTGGTTAGAGGAAGGGGTGCACCAGGATCTGAGGGTCAGCTCCTGACATGATGCCCTCCCTAGTTCCCCCCCAAACACCCTTGCCCTCAGGTACTGGAGGGGAGGGGAAACCAAGAGGGAGGAGGCTAATTCTGTCTGTGGGGGAGCGAGGGGGTGGCTGAGGCAGTGGGAGGGGGTGTGGTGGGAAGGCAGCTGGTGGGAGAAGCTGGGTGTGGACAGAACCCTCACCAGCACCTCTCAAGGGGCAGCCCCTCCATTACGGCTCAGACAGCCATGCCTTCCCCCGGAGAACTGCAGCCCCAGTGCAGGGCGGCCCCAGGCTGGTCTGGAAGACCCCAGCAGAATTCTAATTTCCCATTTATCTCTGCAGCTTCTCCAGCGATGTTAAAGGGGAATGCTCCACAGTTGGCTCCCAGGCTAATTGGATCTGGGCTCCTCTCTCTTTCCTGGGCAAGGTAGGTGGGGTGTGGGGCGGGAAGGATGGGCTGAGGCAGCCCTGATGGGGGAGGAGATGCCGGGGACCTGGGATGCTGGGCTGGGCTCCGTGTTGGTGGCTGTGGTCTTGGAGCCCAGACCCCTGGTCACAGTGACTGCCATGTGCCTCGAGCAAGCCTCGGCCCCTCTCTGGATGCCCACATTCCCTCATCTGCCATGATGATGACGACAACAGCAACAACACATCCATTGCTCACCCAGCATTTCCCAGGCACCAGACACTCTTCTCAGTGTGACACATGTCAGCTCTCCTCTGGTCCCCGCAGCAGCCCAGCGCCGTAAGGGTTATGTTCCACTGTACCAATGAGTGAACTGAGGCACAGCGCATCAGTAACCTGCCCACAGTCTCTAGACAGTGCCCACCATGAATCTTTCAAAGTGCCCCGAGTCCCAATTTTTAAATCCTAGTTACACCCTTATAGACCCGGGTGGGGTGTGGAGAGCTCTCTGTGCCCATTTTTCAAACAGGGACACCGAGGCCCAGTCCACAGCTACTTGAAGTTTTAGTAGGATGTTCCTCCCATGAAGGCTCCCTGCCATTCCCTCCCACCTCAGGGCCCAGGGTAGCAGGCTGGGTTTTCAGATGGTGCACTTGGTGCCGGGATCTGAGGTGGGACAGGGATCCACACTCCCAGCAGCTGCCTCTCCTCCATCAGCCGGGCCGCTCCCCTTGCCTCAGGCCTCACCCCAGCATCCTCTAGGCCTGCTGGGGCTCCTTGCCCCACATATGCTGAGCTGGAGGGGGGGCTCACTTCCTGGGCACAAACCTTCCCCAGAGGACCCCCAGATGCAAAGTTCTTGCCTCTGCAGATCCAGAGTGGAAAGACAGAGAGGAGAGAGAGCCGACCTCCACTGGAGCCTGTTCCCTAGTGACCCTAGAACCAGTCCCATTTTACAGACAAAGAAACTGAGGCTCCCATGCAGAGTTTAGTATAAGGTCTCACGGTGAGGACCTGGTTGAGCTGGGATTCAAACCCAGGTTTGTCTGATTCCATAAGCCTGAGCTCTAACATTGTGCTCTCCTGTGCCAGAGGGAAGTCAGGACTTGGAAGTTCCAGCGATGGAGGCCCTGGACCACGGCCCCAAGGATGTGGCGACAGTGGAAGGGGTTCCGGGCTGGAAACCAGGGGACCTGGATTTAAATCTCTACTCGGCCCCAAACCCGCTGTGTGATACTTTATTTCTCTGAGATCAAAGGCAATGGAGATAATAATAGTACCTACCTACCTACCTGATGGGTGGTTGTATGGAATATGACAGGAACTGTAAACAAAGCACTTATCACAGTGCCTGACACATAGTAGGTGTTCAGTCCGGGCTTGTCATAGTTTCCCTGAGCAAAGTCCACACTAGCCTCCCAAGAGCAGCACATGGGAAAGCACCGCGTGCAGCGCCCTCTCCTTTCAGATGGAGAAACTGAGGCCCAGGGTTGCAACGAGTGAGTGGCAGGGCCAGGACGCAGCCCCGGGTCTCCCAGCAGCCTCGCTGCCAGGCCGGGGTGATGGTTCTCCTTCCAGTCTCCTTTCGCCCCGTGCGTCCCCATCTGTCTGGCGGGGCGTCTCTCCCCTAGGAGGCCAGCTGGAGGGCTGACCCTGGCAGTCCTTTCTCGCCCAGCTGCTGGCAGGAACCAGCCTGGATAAATGCAAAGAGGCCCCCTCTGGAGGCTGCTCCTGCCGTGTACCCCCCGGCCTAATGTTAATTTTGCCAGGGCCTTGATAAATCTTCCTGTCGCCTCCATCCGCCCGAGACATAGATCTCATCTTATAGAGAGGTGACACTTCTGCCCTTTGGGACCAGCTATCAATTTCAGGCGGTGACCGGAGTGGAGAGCAATGAAGAACCAGGCAGGCCCTTCTAACCCCTTCTGCCGCCTGAGCCTTCCCTCCACCCAGGGGAGCAGCCCTCTTGAGCAGCCATCACCTGTCCTTCAGAAGAGGTGCGGGCCCAGCCCTGGCTCTCAGCATCGCCGGGCACACCTTCCTGCCTGCCAGCCGGCCCTTCCTCACCCGAGGCTTGCCCAGGCTTCCAGAGCCACCCGCTGCCCGCTGCCCGGCCGGAAGAGCCACAGAATACTGTTCAGGGAGCAACTCTTACCTGCTGACCTTTGGGGGTGGACACCCTGAGCTGTGAGTTCTTCACCGGCTCCCAGAATTCCCCAGTGGAGTTAAGCTCCAGTTGTTAAGGGGCTCGATCATGCGCCCCTCATTGGCTGTCTTTCTGCCCCATCACTTCCCCACCTGACTGCTGGTGCTTCCTCGGAGCACCTCCCAGATAAGCGATTTGCCCTGGAGCCCTTTTCTGTGGGTCCCTTCTGCAGGAACCCGCGCGAAGACACTCACAAAACACTTTCTAGCAGCTCGTGATGGGATGCACTCTAGTCAGCAATGGAGGTGCAGCAAGAGGTTTGGCGGGTGTTTCTTGCTCCTGGGTCAATTTTCATTCAAGCTGGAACACATCTCTGGGAGGCCTTGTGCCAGTTGTACCGATGAGGAAACAGATTCTCAGAGGGGTGCAGTGACTTGCCCAAGGTCACACAGCCAGCAAACAAGAGTCACTTTTCAAACTCAGGCAGCACACCTGTCTCATTCCCTGGACCCCTCCCTCCTGGGCAGAGACATGACCCGGAGGCAGGGTTCGCCTCCAGGTGTGATCATCAGCTCAGTAGATCACACCTGGAGTCTTACTGCTGGGCAGCCTTCTGCAAGGTGCTAAGGACACCAAATGAAAAGCTGCAGTTCCCGATCTCCAAGGGCTGAGATCGGGTGGGGGAGATGGATGCATGAGAGACAGTATGGCTGGGACCCCTCCCAGAATGCATTGCAGCATCTGTCTTACACTACTCTCAGAATCTTGGGAGCTTTGTGCTGGGAGGCATCTGAGAGACTATTTCAACACCCTTATTTTATAGATGAGGCAATTGAAGCCCCAAAGAGATAGGGACTCCCTGGAGATCAGACTCCAGGCCAGGCTCTTGTCTTGGAATTCTGCTGAGCATCGCCCACCATGCCCCCTAAGCTGTGCTTTGGTCTTGCCCTGCAACTTCCCAGGACAGCCCGAGGCCCCATCAGGCTCATAAGCAATTCTCAAAACCCAGAAGCCTCCAAGTTAAAAAAAACAAACAAACAGATTTTACCACATAAAATGTTTAAATTTTTGTACAACCTGAGGGGGGAACAGAGGTACAGACTTATGAGAAAATATTGGCACATAGCAGATAAAGGGTTAATAGCCTTAACAAACAAAGAGCTTTTACCAATCAATAAGAGAAAGACAAACATTCATTTTTCAAAAGTGGACAAAAGAGATGAGCAGGAGATGCCAGTCTAAGGGGATCTAAGGAGTTGATGCCAGAGCTTTGAACCTCTGCGACTCCGGAGGGTGGTAAAACTGTTACTACTTGTTAAATAAATGCTTATTCATTATTAAAAGATCCATTTGTGGTGCGGGTCGCACATTACTGCTTGTTAAACCCGTTAAAGTGCTGGAAATCCTCCCAGATGCTTTATTTACAGTTACAATAGCAGAAGAAGGTGGCCGAATGCCAGAGCCATGGCCCCATGGTGGGACCCACTTCCTGCCCATCCCCCTGCCCTGTGCCTCTGGTCCCTGAGTCCCACACAAGTGACCTTAAAACCAAATTGCCTCTGCAGCTCGGATAGGGCAGACCAAGGAGGAGCATGGCAGGAAGAGCTAGGCGGGGAGCCTGGCCCTGCCCTTAGCTGACTGTGTGATCTCTGCCAATGCTGGGGGTGAGGGGTCGGGGTGAGTGGCAGCAGGAGACTTGGCACCTACCATCTTCGCTGCCCCACCCCTCTTTGGAAGGGCAGCTGCTGACCTCATTAACTGGAACTCAATTAAGGGGTCCTTTAAAGGGACTCAGGACAAAGACCCCACTTTACAGATGGAAAGCCAGAGGCCCAGAGAGGAGCAGGGATGCCACCCAGCCCTGTCAGGACTAGCACCCAGGTCTCTGCACTCCTCCTCTTTCTCCCTGAAAGAGAAGCAGAGGCCAGGACAGCTGGGGTCCTGTGTTTCAGGAGTTCCCTGCCCCAGCGTCCTCACGTCCCAGTCTCCCTCTCCTCCTCCTGGATTCCCTGGAGGACCCTCCCCTCAGGGCGGTCTCACCCCGCAGGAGGCGAGTCTGTCCAGCCAGCAGTGTCCTCCAGCCAGCTGGACCCCTTCGTCTCTGCTCTGAAGTCAGCCCGGCCCTGAGGGAGCAGCTGGGCGCCCTCCACTCCCGCCTGCTCTCTCCGCCGCTCGGCCCTTCGGCTGCAGCACTGCCCGCTTCAGGCAGGGAACGGAGGGGCACCTGAGTACTACTGAACACCTGCTCTAGCTCACCACGTGCTTCACATCCTTTATCTTTTTAAAAATGTGTTTATTGATTTCGGAGAGGAAGGGAGAGGGAGAGAGGGATAGAAACATCAATGATAAGAGAACCGTTGATCGGCTGCCTCCTGCACACTCCACACGTGGGATTGAGCCCGCAATCTGGGCATGTGCATAGGTGGACGCTCAGCTACTGAGTCACACTGGTTGGGCTACATCATTTATTTTATTTTTAAATATATTTTATTGATTTTTTTATAGAGAGGAAGGGAGAGAGATAGAGAGTCAGAAACATCGATGAGAGAGAAACATCGATCAGCTGCCTCCTGCACACCTCCCACTGGGGATGTGTCCGCAACCAAGGTACATGCCCTTGACCGGAATCGAACCTGGGACCTCTCAGTCCGCAGGCCGGCGCTCTATCCACTGAGCCAAACTGGTTTCAGCTACATCCTTTATTTTAATGACTCCTCTTCTATGACTCTGAGCTGGAGCCTGTGTGCCAGGTGCTGTCAGTGAGCGGGTCAGGGTTTGGGCCAGCTTCCGCCACTTCCTGTGTGACTCCAGGCGAGCCATGGAACCTCTCTGAGTGTTTCAGTAAATGGGGGTGTTGTGAGCAAACAATTATTAATAAATGAAAAGTATTAGTACAGGACCTAGGATATGGGGAGGTCAATCAAGAGTCACTGCTATTTAACTTTTTTGAAGAGCGGACTGCTATTATTATCTGGAAAGTGGGCTTAAGCATATCTACCTGAGGGTTCTTGCCAGGAGGCAATGACACAATGTGTCTGAAGCATTTGGCAAAATACCCTGGGCGAGACGAAACATGGCAGCCGTGACCCGGTTCATTGGTGGACAAGGGGCCCACCCTGGTGGCTCCCAATTCTCACCAGGGAGTGACCACCTACTAAGATCCCACCTGGGGTGTGGCCCAAGCTGGGGACCCGGGGATGGCAGCATCCAGAATGGGTGGGAGCCAGGAGCCCTGGAAGACACACATGATCGATACTAAGCCAATCTCTTACAAGATTACCCGGCCTCTGGTATCCAGTCATAAAGAAAATCACTCAGCACGCTAGGGAGATGTGAAAAATGCCGTGGATTACAGTTTGGGATGTTCCGAGTGAGAGTAAGTGAGTTCGGGATTGTTTCCTGCAGTAAATAATTCATCCACTTTAAATTTCGTTTTTTCTTGCCAACGCCCTCCCTCCCTCCTCTGTCTCGCTGTCTCTCTGGGCAGCTCCCTCTCAAGCCTGCTCTCTCCGAGGCTCCCACCCCTACTTCTGTCCAGGGCACCCCCGCAGCCAGCAAGGAGCTCATAATGCAAACGTTTTGAGTCTGTTAATGACACTAATCGTCTTTCCCAGCTAATTAGTAACGCTGCCAAGAAACACGCCTTTGTTAGTTACCAAGGCCAAGGACCACCCAGGGAGGAGAGAGCCCAGTGGGGGCAGCCGTGGAAGAGCTGTAGCTATGCTGGGGAGTAGGCGGGC